CAAAAAAATCGGAAATCGGAATCGGCCAAGAAAATTGCAATCGGTGCATCTCTAACAGGAACACAAACAAAAGTCTATAATTGTGACAAATATGAATATACACACAAAGCAAATCAGCTGAACCAAACAGAGGAAACAAGGGCCAAAAAGGGAACAGAGATGATTCACCAGGTAAATGTCCAAAATACAGAATGTAAACCTAACAATCATTAGTTCAGCATAACTTTAGGGTCCATGTAGTATTAAAGATACACTACTGTTTTACATTTCATGTATTCATGACATTCACAACTTTGACATTAATGGATTAATCTCTCAAGAATCTCCTCGATGTAAAGCAGAACATTCTTACATTCTTGAGTACCAGGTTACACCATGCATAGTTAAGGTAATTTTGATGGAATTATTATTTGTAGAAAGTAATAAATAATTATTACTGTACTGTTGTTTTCGTTTATGTTTTTAAATTAAAGAGCATGATAACAAATGCCTTGTTGCATGCTTACATAACCTTTGTCCAAATGTAAGGTTAGACATGGAGTAGAACAAACACTCAAAGGACGTGAAATGGAAAAACTGTCATTATATGCAAGAATGTATACAAAATGTCAAAGGCCTGTCATAAAATAAAAACATTGAACACTCTAAAACACTTCTCAAGTTTGTTTGTGATTTAAACATTCACTTGGCTGTTGTCTTAGCTGTCTCTCTTAAAATTCCTTAGGAAAAATAAAAGCAGTAGCAAAAGAGACAATTGACACAATAAGAGTATAGAGATATAACATTAAACTGGACAATAGTCAGATAATTTAGTCTTGGACCAATTCAATGAAACATTGTTGATAATGTTTGACTGCAGAATAATTTTTGGTACTTTAGCAAATCTGAAATGCCAAATCACAGTTTTTAGATTTCCAGTTTTAGATTATAAAACTCTAGAGATGAGCAGATGAGAGATTAAACTGGGATGTTTTCCTCAAGAAAATCTAAGTTCTATCCTGACAACTTGGAAGATTTTAGCATGGTAATGGATATGGCAATGTTAATGTGTTTGGTCTTGGGACCAAATTGCGATGAACTGAGATTCTTTTAGAGATTATAAATGCAGCGCTCTTTGCTGGCATTCTGCTATGCCAAACCATGTATGCAGCCGCCGCTTGCTTTAGTTAAAAATAACAGTGTTCTGTGAATGTTGATGCATAAATTTCATGGAGAAAAAAGTAATGTAACTAATTACTAATTACTTTTGAAATAAAGTAATCAGAACAGTAACGTGATTACTTTTAAAAGGAGTAATCAGTAATTTGATTACATTTTCAGAGTAACTTGCCCAACTCTGCCCGTAGCAGATCTCAGAGGAAGAGGTTTCAGAGGAACTCTAAAAGTGCGCTGCAAAATGCTCAAGTGGATGCTAACCAGCCATTTAAATGTAAGCTGTAAGCTCATTGGCTGCATATGCAACATGAACCAATCAGCTTGTGCCAAGTCATTTAATGCTGTGAATATCATCAGTTACTTTAAGAACCCATCAGCCTGTGCCATCTAGGGCTTCTTGAAAGAACTAGACATTTAAGCAAAAGTCATTATTTGCTGTAAATTTACCCCTCCGATGTTTAGAACAAGAAATTTTATTTGACTTGATTTTCATAAGGTGATATTTAAACCATAATATCATATAGCCTATATTATTATTTAATATGACAGGAAAATTTGACCATAAAATTGGAGCTCTAGTGTTTGTAAAATGAAGAAACAGTATGTTTGTGTTTATGCATGTGTGCTGTTTTTATGTGCTTGTGATTGATTTGATTTATGAATCGTTTAATGTTTATATTCATTGTGGAGAAATGTTTACTTGTGTGACAGGGTGATGAATGAGTTCGGGACTACACTTCCCATAAGTCCGTGGGGTAGGTCTGCACGTGCTATAAATAGACGCACAGTAGCATAGTGTGCTCTCATCTCATTCATCCATTGATGTTACAAACAAGCATGCGCTAAGATCAGGTAATTTGTGCTCAACTGTGTTTTAAAAAAATTACTATTAAAACACAGTTGAGCACAAATTACCTGATCTTAGTGCATGCTTGTTTGTAACATCAATGGACGAATGAGATGAGAGCAGCTATACTACTGTGAGTCTATTTATAGCACGTGCAGAGGTAATTAAGCTACCCCACAGACTTATGGGAAGTGTAGTCCATTCATCACCCTGTTACACTTGTACATCATGGACAGCAAAACACACTGTATAAGTGTGATGATTTGACTTGATTTGAATATTACTTGATACATGTATATGCATGTGGCAGTAGAAAAGCTATAAATGTTGAGGTACTTGACTGAAATATTAAAGGGGTCATATGATGCTATTTTAAAGATCATTATTTTGTGTATTTGGTGTAACAGAATATGTTGACATGCTTTAATGTTCAACGCCCCTTACCATAATCGCGAGCTTCAGCTTTCAAAGTAAATATCAAGACAGTTAATAGTGTCCTTAGTTTTACCATCAGTAAAAAAAACAAAAAAAAACTAAACTCTCTTTGGATTTGAGACTTTAGTGTTTGCAACTTTACAGATCTTCTTTATGCACCAAGAGCTTGTAACACTCCAAAGAGAAAGGAAAACTTGAAATCGCATCATATGACCCCTTTAAGACATATTTCAAATTATTCTATTGAACTTACATAATTGTATTACATACTTTTTTATCATTTAATAATAAGTAGCAATTTTGCTGATGCTTTTATCCAAAACAATTACAAATTTTAAAGGCAATATGAAATGCATCTTAAAGCTGCAGTCCGTAACTTTTGTTGCTCTAGCTGTTAATAAACAGAACTGCATGTGTCTTGCAGAAGAACATTGTAGCCGGAGCTACTTCTCTCTGTTTATGTCCATGGTGAGTCACGCAGGTACTGGGCTACTCCGCAGCGGTGCTGAGCCAAACCAGTCTAAAATTGTTAGAATATAAACACTATAAACTGTATTTAGTCAAAAACATTTTAATTTTCATAGTTGATCTGTTACCTTCATTTTTACTAACGTAAAAAGATGTCAGTTTTACAGCTTTTTTTTTGGATGGACAGTTAAAGTAATAGGCCATCTAAAATGAGGACCAAATGTCTGTTTTATTCAGTGCTTATAATTTATTGTTACTAACTGTTGTTGTATTTTTTATGTCTTAGATATCAAATCCACACTGGCCTCCAGCATTCCATCATCCGACCCACTCAGCCGAATTGCCTCCCTTTGGAGAACATCACCCTTCCTCAGAAACTGAAGAACGCTGGGTACTCTACACATATGGTGGGGAAGTGGCACCTTGGCTTCTATAAACGCGGCTGTATGCCTACGCAGCGTGGCTTTGATACCTTCTTTGGCTCTTTGTTGGGTAGCGGCGACTACTACAGCCATTACAAATGTGACAGCCCAGGAATGTGTGGGTATGATCTTCATGAGGGGGAAGAAGCTGCCTGGGAGCAGGACCATGGCATCTATTCCACCATCATGTATACTCAAAAGGCAATAAACATCCTGGCATCTCACAATCCTAAACGGCCCATCTTCCTTTACTTGGCCTACCAGGCTGTACACTCACCCTTGCAGGTTCCTGCCCGCTACCTTGAACGCTATAAGTCAATCCCAAACTTGCATCGCCGCAAGTATGCTGCAATGGTCAGCTGCTTGGATGAGGCAGTACGCAATCTAACTCTTGCTCTCAAGCAGTATGGCTATTATGACAACATGGTTATGGTGTACTCCTCAGACAATGGAGGTCAACCAATGGCAGGAGGCAGCAACTGGCCACTAAGAGGCAGTAAAGGAACTTACTGGGAAGGAGGAATACGAGCGGTAGGGTTTGTACACAGCCCTTTACTGGTCAAAAAGGGAACTAGAAGCAGGGCTCTGATCCATATTACTGATTGGTACCCAACACTGGTGATGCTTGGTGAAGGTACTCTAGATGAAAACCAGAACCTTGATGGCTATGATGTCTGGGAAGCCATCAGTGAGGGACGTCCCTCACCTCGACTGGATATTCTCCACAACATAGACCCTGTCTACACCAAAGCCAAGAATGGCTCTTGGAAAGCAGGCTATGGAATCTGGAACACGGCCATCCAGGCAGCACTCCGTGTAGGTGACTGGAAGCTCCTGACTGGTGTGCCAGGATATGGTGACTGGATTCCACCACAGACTTTCTCCAAACTGCTGTTGGCCAATCGTTGGCACAATGAACGTGTGAACTGGGATCGAGGCAAATCTATATGGCTCTTCAACATTACAGCTGATCCATATGAACGAGTGGACCTTTCTCGACGATACCCACATGTGGTGAAGAAGATGCTATTCAGGCTTCTACGGTACAACAAGACAGCTGTGCCATGCCGCTATCCTCCCAAAGACTATCGCTCCAATCCTCAGTATAATGGGGGGGTCTGGGGTCCCTGGTACACAAATGATGACGAAGATGAGGATGATAACCTTCTCTCATATGATTTGGAACAGATGAAGAGTTGGAAGAAAGCGAAACGAAGAGGGAAATTCAACAGAAAGACCTGAGGTCTATAGAAGTTTATGTTGGCTCCCATTTTGACTTTTGTGGTATGAACTCAGGTATGACTGTAGTCTTTAACTTCCAGCACAGTCATTTTCACTGATGTATAGATTTACCTCCAATTTCAATTTAAAAGTCAGTAGTGTGTAATTTAAATATTTTCTATTCCAGTTCAATGTGCAGAGAACTATAGGTGATTCATTCATAGAGTGTAAACACTGTGAGGCTTCAAAGCATTGCTATTATTTGAAAAATCTGACAACTTTTGTCTCAAACAATGCTGCAAGTTTGGGTAAGGACAACTAGTGGCAGATGAGAAAAGTGGAAGAAGATCATTGTTTTTGCAACTCTGGTGCTACTAAAAGCACAAAAATGACATGCCTTCAATGAAAATTAAAAAAAAAAAAATGCGTGATGAGGAAGGGAACCACTTGAATTACTACTGTAAGTCTTACAGCTTGAATTAAAAAAAAATAACTTTTTGGGATGCATAAGAAAGTTAAATGAAATTGGTGCTATGTTATTGGCAAAAATTTGAGTTCTATTACTGTATATATATTGTTTTATTTGATGTTTTGCCTGGTCTGGCACCAGTGAAACTTGAATGTAAGATCAATACATCTTTTTCTTATTCTCCTGTTTTCTCTTAATTTTGCTGTGTGTTACATTTCAAGTATCATTATGCTTAACTTGCTTAACATACCACTAATACTTTGGTATGTACTGTTTTACAATACATACTGTATTCAGCCATATCTAAGTACACATACTAAAATACATGCAAGCAGTCATTATTTTCCTCTTGCAGTAGTTTGAAAAAATGAAGAATTTCTGTCATCTGAATGACTGTAAGTCAATATTAAACTTTTTTCTGCAAAATTGATTGTCCTCAGCAGGGATTTTAGATTTGGTCCGACCATTTTAAAAATACAATAATGAAATGAACATGGGCTCAAAATATTTTAAAAAAGAAAGAAAGAAAAGTATTGATTTCTACATCCTTTGGTACTAATTTTCAAGGTATAAACAAATACTTTGCACACTTACAAAAGCAACGAGCAGATATTGTCATTAACTTTGTTTCAATATCTGTGGCATTGCAATGGTTTGTCCTGCCAAAAGTTCAATCTCTTTGGTCCAAAATCACTTTCCACATAGCTGTATGATAAGCAACAAATACATATTGTATATTACTTTGCCATGTCACAAAGCAGTTTCACATTCATTGTACATGGTCTAATTGCTCATTACTTGAATCTTGTTACATTGTGCCTGTTTAGGACACGGTATAATACTTTCCTGCAGTCCATGTTTTACTGAGATTGTTACAGTGACTTTCAGCTGTGTGGTTATGTCAGTCAATAAACCAGATGCATATGAAGCTCAGAACATTCCAACAAATAGAAAAAAAAAATGAACATGAGTTTTATTGTTTGGTGCTACCCTAGAGCGTAACAAAATGACGCAGCTGGATTATGTAATCTGGACCATTTCCTTGAGAACAATCCGATGTCCCTGGCCAATACTCCACAGCTGTCTTCATAAAACTCATGTGAAGCAAAGCTGGAACAGATTACAATTCCCCACATTTAATGTACCAGATAACTAGCAGAATGACACCCTACCAGCTTCATATGTCAACAGGAGGTATTAAGCTTGCCTGCAGGGCTGGATCTCTTGGCAGTGCTTTGCATTCCTTGAGGCTGAGCTATTCCATTTTTTTTGTATGTATGCTGTTGGTTGGTTCGCATTTGTCCATGCTTTCACTGGACTGCTATACCTTGTCAGAGGAGGCACTTTCTGTATTGCATAATGTGCCCACATAGTAAAATTCGTAGGCATAGTTCTAAGACATGTACTGTTTTAATTATACCTGCCACAATATTTACTCATGGAAATAGAATAATTATCCACTGGCAAAGCTCTCGGTTGATTTGGAAAATGTTCGACAAACAAAATGCTAATGGGCCATAGTTACCAGATGATAATGTTAATCGCAAAATGCCTGGCTGATATATGTTGGTCTAAGCTATGTATTGATATTGATGTACATAAACGTCTATGATAGGATATGAAGGTGTATTATACAGTATGTATTTTTTTTGTGTGTGTAAAAGTCCGTCACCTTTATATATTGCAAACATAACTTTGATAAAGTTTGTTGGCTTGCATATTTGCATAAACTCCTGTTTCCTGTAATGGCCAAGTATGACTGGAACTCTTTTTGGCAACCAACAAAGGTTCGGCAGGTTCATATTTTTACTCTGTATCTCCTTTATCCCTGTCTTTTCTCTCTAAGCTGCTCTTTTTATTTTGGCCTCTCTCGCTCAAGTTCTATTACTACCTCTCAATCTTTTGTTTTTCCCTCAAAATTCTTGTAAAAAACATGCATTTGCAAATATTAGTATATGTTTTATGGCCATATATAACTTGCACCCCATCCCCCACCCTGAACCCAAACACATGAAATGGCATACAGCAGATAGGCTATATCATTCATGAAGCCTTTAGACTAATAGTGGTCTCATTTAAAAGAAGACACTTGGCAGTTTGTTGGCACAGAGTCTGAATTAATTACAATCATAAACAGAAATAGTTATAAAGGCTTAAATGTGTTGTAAAGTTTTTAGAAAATAATTGTCAAGAAATATTTTACTGACAATAAATAAATAAAATTGGCCTTGTTGCAGTCTAAACCCTATACTGAAAGTCAGGCTTTACTATGTTCTTTAAAATCGGAGAATGATACATCTAAATCTTCGATTCACACTTTTTCAATCCTTCATTTCATTGATCAAATGTCTCACTGCCTTTGACTTTTTGCCTTTGTATAAAATTCAATTCAAATGTATTTGTATAGCGCTTTTTATGACACAAATCGTTGCAAAGCAACTTTACAGAAAATTAAGTTTCTACAATATTTAGTAGTATAGCTTATCAGTGGTGATCAGTTTATGTACATATGGCAGAAATGTACGGAAAAATCAATTAAAGACATAATCAAACAGACGATGAACACTATTAACAGCAATTATTATATGATGCAATCCAACTTATAGCAAAATGTGGTAGTTCTGTATGTTGTTTCAGGGTTGGCATCATCTGAGGTCCTCTGAGGGGTTGGCATCATCTCTTCTCAGGTGTTCTGGATCCAGACTGAAGCTTGTGTAAATCCTAGTTACCACGGTGTAACGGAGCCGACAAGACGCGCGGATCCATTTGCAAAGCTTTAATGGAAGACAGATACGTGGTCATAATACAGGAATGGGTCAGACAATGGCAAACAGGTATATAGAGGGCAAGACAAAAGAGTATCCAAAGGAAGGCGTGAGTCAGTTGACGGTGAATGTAAACCTGAGGGCGAGGCAAATGGGGAATCCACAAGACGAGCTAGAGTCCAGGCGAGGTGCAAACACAGTCTGAAACAGCAAGGCAAAGGGTAATTCCAAAACAGGCTATAAACTTCAGGGCAGGCAGAGATCAGACAAAACGAGATAACAGGCAAGGATCAAGACACGGGTAAACAGACTAAAAACAAGGCAGTACTAGATTAAGGAATTTAGAATGGCTCCGTAAAGTAGCTATCACATGATGAGCAATAAGTGCTAAAAACAATACTTGGCAGTTTGAAAGGGATCTGAGTGGGGTAATATAGTGAGTGTGTGATTGGTTACAGCTGTGTGCAATCAGTGCAATGGATGATGGGATATGTAGTCCGGGATGACATGCAACAGGTTGTGTAGTGCGAGAGTCAATGTAATGAAAGGGTGACCTCTGGTGGCGATCGAACGGAAGTCCATGGACAGGATTCGTGACACACGGGATGTCAAAGCCTTACATAAAAAAGAAAATAATCATTCTAATGATCTTACTTGGATATATCTCTCAAAATGAATAAGCCCTTTTTCACATGACATCAGGCAACTTTCATTTTGACTTGGAGAAGTATGTTTATTTATGACAGCATAATAGAATGCTGGAGCCACTAGCACGGAGTTCACTAGAGAATAGCTAGAGAATAACTGGAGCATCTACTCACCTCTCACCTACATAAAAGGGTGATCAGTGAGATTTGTCATTTGCAATCAGGGGAAGAGTTGAAAAAGGAGCCATCAAGTCTGACACTTTTTGTTCCCTTTAGTAATGCTTACACAGTATTTGCTGTCTTTATTGCAGCTGAAGTTAATTAGATGAATTTGTTAGTATTTGTCAAATAAACAGATGTTTCAGACATTTACAGTGGTGGCCAGAATGATTAGAACACTAGTATTTTCACCAGCTTGAAAAATGGTTTCAAGTCAGTCATTTCTATCTTTTGCTGTAGTGTGTCAGTAGGAAATATCAGTTTACATTTCCAAATTTATATTCCATTAATTGTAATAATCCAGTGAGATTTTTGTTTGCACAAGGAGTCTGACAACAGCCAGTGCTCCACACAGAGATCTGATCTCATCATCATCCAGTCTGTCTGGAATGACATGAAGAAACAGAACAAACTGAGACAGACTCAATCCAGAAGAACTGTGGCAGCGTCTCCAAGATGCTTCAAGAAACCTACCTGCAAAGCTACAGTACTGTTAAAAGTTTTAAGCACTTTTGTTAAAATGCTGTAAAATGAGGATGCTGTCAACAATAATGTCATAAATAGATTTTCTTTATCAATTAACTTCTATTAATTAAATTAAATCAACATTTGGTGTGACCATCCTTTGTGTTTAAAGCAGCTTTTGCGCCAGGTGCACTTGCCCATAGTTTTCCAGGTAGCTTTTCAGGGTTTCTTGAAGCATCTTGGAGACGTTGCACAGGTCCTCTGGATTTATAATATTTATATTTATTGGGGTTAAATATATTTAACATGGCGGACGCGTTGACGTATCGCAGCAACGGCTCAAAGCGGCCAATGAGGCGTCTAGGTATTTATTATGTCTATGGTTTACATGGCATGCTTAGTGCATATCGCCACCTAATTGATGGTTATGCAATCTTTTTTTTCTCCGTTTAATCTTTAATCCTTGAGAATATGAATTATATTGTTTTGTTTGATGCTAATTAT